CAGTGGTTCTCAAACATAAATAATATTTGCTACAACATACTTGGGTTAAATTAAAATAAAATAGAAATTAAGATATGCCTTTTATTTATGTCACACAAGCAGTTTGTTTTTAATTCATTATGTGATAGCGATACAAACCATTTGTTTATAGATTTAAATAAAATCGAAAATAAAACTAACATATAAAGAAACATTTTATTTATGTATTGTTCCGTTCAAAAGTTAAGGGGGGAAGAACTTTTAAAATCCGCACTGTAGATGTTGGCAGTAACAATACGTAGAAATATCCGAAAATAAAACTAAAAATAAGTTGAAAATAAAAAAGCCATTGTATTTAATTTCGCGAGTAAGTAATCGTAATTGTACACCATTATATTTAGTTCTTTTTTCTGACAATCGCTGTCACATTTAGTTTCTGCTTAACTATCATCATCATCATTATTATCGTCACTGTCATCACTATCTCCGTTATTTATATTTATAATAATTGGTTCGATATCATCGAACAAATTGTCAATTTCCCACATTTTTTTTTCTGTTGCTATTACGTGGTTTACGTAGTTTTTCCATTTCTCTGGCGTAATGACCTGGCACGCTGCTGTAATTAAATTTCGCATTTCAGCTTCTTTAAAATTCGCGTTGCGTCCAGCTATATACCGTTTCACTTCACTCCAAACCATTTCGATGGGATTGAGTTCAGTGATAGGGTGGGAGCCTCAGAATCTTCACATTGTGCTTTTTAGCAATATCTTCTATTATGTACCTGTCATATTTTGCTTTGAAGGCCTTGACTATATCAAGTAACTCCCATTTTAGGTAGTCTTCTTCAAAAAATAGGTCCTTTTTCAGAAGCCATTCTTGAATATATTTTTTTAGTGTTGAATTGTTGGGAATTTGTTCTGATTTTCTGCTGTGATAGGAGGCATTGTCCATTACCACAACAGTTTTTTTCTGGGAAATTTAGCATTAAGTTATTTTCGAACCAATCTTCGAAGGTTTGTCCATCCATTTCGTCGTGGTAGTCCTGAGTATTTCTCTTTGACAAAAATGTGATGCTCCATTAACAAATCCACTGATAGATCCTGCGTGCAATAAAACGAACCATGCACCACGAGCTGTTGGAGCTTTAATCCTGTTGTCAGACCACGAACAAAAGCATCGCGATGAGATGTAATTGTTTTATCAACCCATTCTTTTTTCACACTGTGCCTGATATTTTCCCACGATTCATCCAAATACACTATGTTGTATCCTTCTGCACAGTATTTACGAATTGCGCGTAAATAACGATGATGTCACGAGATGATTTCTGGTTTTTCAATCAAAATTGAATTTCTGCCACGTTGGATCACTCATCCAGCGATGTAGCGTGGCCCGTGAAAAATTGGGCAAAGTTTCTTCGACATTTACAACGGCTAATATGGTGTTTATTGTCGGTGGTATGTTGTCAAGAAAAAATTGATGAACTATTCTACGAATTTGGCCCCTGACACCTTCATCGTACTTGTTGTCATGAGAATTACCAACCTTTCGATTCTTGGGTCTGTTCTTTGGAAATTGTAATCCAGCAGGTGATGAATATTCCTGCCGTATGCGCAACAAAGTCTTTTCGCAAACACCACTCATTTTTGACACTTTCCTAATTACACTTAATACAGAATCGTTGTTATCCTGATTAAGATGATAATTAATAATATTCATTAGTATCTGCTTCTCTAAAAGTTTCAGAACTTTTCCACGTTTCCATTGAACAATTTCCTCCATTTTGCGGTAAAAATTCGGCGTCAAATATAACAATAGCCAACAACAGAAAATAACAATAATTGCCAACAGCAAATCACAACAACAGACACCAACAAATAATAACAATAACAAAACAGTACATCCAAGATGGTACAAATAATCGTAACTCGAATATGTTTACGCGCTCCGAAGAATAAATAAAGACTAATTAAGTCAAGCTTTTAAACATATTCTGTACAAGAATTTCTCTAATTGCTTCTTAATTACTGAATAACTTAGAAGAAAGTATTTGAAAAACTTTGAAACAAATGTTTACTTAATGCACATTTTATTATACTACTGCTACTAATAAAAGATAAAAGTTGATAAGTTAGTATTAGAAACAAATAACGTCTAGCATTATGTAAAATTATTAGCAAACGATATTTGTAAATTACATAAAATTGTACGTGAGGACTTGTTGAGAACTCCTGCTTTATTCCGTTTATTTTGAAAGATAGACAATAGAGAACGCCATCATCATCATTAGTGGCGTTATAGCTATTTATGAGCCAAAGCCTTCTTCAGAACAATCCTCCATTCGCCCCTGTCTCTGGCAACTCTTCTCCATGCTCTAATTCCGATAGACTTCAAATCATTTTCTAGGTTGTCTTGGTACCTAAGTCTCGGTCTTCCTCTTCTTCGTTGTCCGATCGGCCCTCTTCGGTCAAAAACTTTTCTGACTATGGCATCTTCCTCTCGTCTGATTACATGACCTATCCATCTAAGGCGTGCTACCTTAATGAATTTTACAACGTCAGGTTCTCCAAAACTTCTCAAAAAAGAGAACTCCATCGCTCACTGCATAAAACTGACAACGTCTTGGCGAAATTCCCATAAGGTTAGCATTGCGCATCTTACTCTGTACAGACTAGTCACTTTGAGACAAAGTAAAGGCTCTTTGAAATGAGAGCTGAAGTTAGAACTTTCCTAATTGACAGTAATTTTGCCTTGGGTGATCGATTGTGAAAAGCTATGGTTTGTTAGAACAGTGAGCGACGCATAACTCACAGTCAGTCGAACGCCGCGCACATTCGTCAAAATCAAAGGAATGGTTCTCTATGATAGCGGTTTATTAGGTTCTGCTTAGTTGCGCGCACTATAGAGCCACAGCAGTGTACGTCGACGGTGCGCGCTGGAATCAATTGCGATTTGATTTGGACGTAAACGTTCAGCTGAGCTCACAGCGTACATAACTATATCGAAATTATAATTGTAATTTTATATAATTATAATTGTAGTAATAAGTGATGTCTACTAAATTTCCTCCCCAGGAAGATGAAAGACTAGTGGATCTAGTAAGAGAGCATCCTCCAATATATCCGTTCAAAATAAATCCCTGGAAAGTCTAAAATATTCTCGAAATATTTCGGCGTTTTGAAACAATCTTCTTTCGACTGTTAATTGAAAAGCGCATTCTGTATTGATATAAAAAAATTTCAGTGACATTTTTCTTTTATTTAGATTTGACATTATCAACTCTTCTTCTTTCTCCTCTTCTTGAAGTAATAAAATTATTGCTTTAAGTTTGCGAGAATTCATTTTTCTAAACGTATAACCTATATCTTAACTTATTTTGAGCGCGACAGAATATGTGTATGCGAATTAATCTAACAAACCGACTCACCCACAACTGCCGTGAGTCAAGTACAGCAGATTTTGCTGTACGTCTATACGGTTCTAACAAACCGTAGCTTGACGACCATTGGTTATTTAAATTTGCATATTTAACAGATATTTTTAACAAGGTCAATGAAGTTAGTCTCTCACTTCAGGGAAAGACAATAACTGTCTTTAACGCTGATGATACAAGCGTATAGGAAGAAATTAATTTTTTGGTCAGAATCTGTGAAAAATAAAAGTCTGGATAGCTTTCCACTAATCACAGAATTTAAAGAACTAAATTTACTTGAAAACTTCCATAATTATTTTCCTGAGGAACTTCACGACAAAATTAAAGAAAACGTCTGGGTTGCAGATCCATACCTTGTAATGTTAAAAAAAAAACAGCTTCCTTAACATCTCAGCAGTATGAATGCCTGATAGATTTGACATCGGATTCTGCGATATAAAAATATTTTGAAAGTAAATCACTAGTAGATTTTTGGTGTCAACTCAAACGACGAATTTAAAATTTTGTCAGATAAAGCGAAAATTATTCTTCTCACTTTTGCAACAACATAATATTAAGCTCCATTCTCTGGCAATGTGGCCACTAAAACAAAATATAGATCTCGACTGAATGCGGAACCTGACATTCGATTGCAGTTATCCCAAATTCAACCAGATATTACTAACCTATGCAAATCAAGGCAGCCTCATTCTTCACAATAGAATGAAGACATTGCCCTTTTTAAGATTTTAGAACCTGTGTGTTTATTTTATTTTTGTTTTTCGTTATATGTAATTAAGTTTCTTATGTTTGCGATTATTGAAAAAAAATGATATTATGAATAGTAAATATAACAGTTAATGTACCCCCTCTTCCAACTAATATCTGTCGTTCTCTATGACACCTATATAAGTTTCAGGTGCAATACGGTAAGTGCTCCCTACAGAATTTTTATCCTGAATAATGCTCCTCGAGCAAAAAACTTTGGGAAACGCTGGTCTAAACTATCAAAAAAATCAGCTACGCCATAGTTATAGAATCTCTATCAAGTGAATAAACTTTTCTTACAAACAAAAGAAGTTTCTGTATTATAAAATTAAATGTTTAATAGTACTGGTAGTAAAAAATATAAAATATGAGTATTTTTGCAACAAGAGTAAAAATATTTGCCTAAAGCAGCTACTTTAAAATATTTTTTTTTCAAATAAAAAAATAATTAACAAATAACAAATTGGTTGTTTTAAAATCAGTTTATACTTTAAAGCTAAAAAATGTTTTAATTTAGTACTTTCAAATTTTACGACTCAACGCCAACGTTTAGTATATTGCATCTAAATATTTCTAAAGCTTCCCATTGTTTCGTATGAATTAAAATATGTGGCCTCTTCTGTTTCATGTGCTCGACAGCTTTTTCTGGGCTCCAGTTATACCTCTAAAAATAAAAACAAGAGGGTTAAATGTAGTTTAATATATAGCGACCAATTTTCTTGAAATTAAAACTAGTATATAATAATAAAATTTAAGTGTTTTGCAACAAGAGTAAGAATATTACAACAAAAAACAAAAATACAAGTAACAAATAACTAATTGACTACTAAAATCAGTTCACAATTTCAACCAAAATATATTTTAATTTACTATGTTAAAAGTTCATGAATCAACATTTATCATATTAAATCGTCTAAATATTTCTAAAGCTTCCCACTGTCTTGCATGCATTAAAATATGTGGCCTCTTTTCTTTCATGTGCTTTATAGCTCTTTCTGGAGTCCATTTGTACCTCTAAAAATAAAAACAAGGGACTTAAAAGCAGTTTAATATGTATGGATTTTAAAGGAAGTTTTGTTCGTAAAGTCAATTCAAGATAGCGCAGTCCAAATACGATATTTTTCTCGTCGAACGTGTTTGTGAGAAATCAACGATTAAACTTGAAATATCTTAAAAATCAATGTTTGTTTTAACCACCATAAACCCGAGCGGTGTGCAGTCAACAATTCTTGTAAATAAATACCAAAATAATATTTTATTATTTATTTTTTAGCTATTTGACAAATACACATTTTTAATGTAGCAAAAAAATTGCAAATTTTGCTATTGAATAAAAAGAATATTCTACAATTAGTAAGTAATACCTTAATATCTATTAAGGGATCTCGAATGCATACTTACACGAGTACTTAGAGTGGTGAAACTAAACATTTTTTGTTTATTATAATTATGGTTGATCCTATATGTTCGTAATAATAAACACTACAAGAAAGGAAAAAGGATATGCGCCAGTAAATATGTGGTTCTATTGCGTTTTAAAAGCGAAAGCACAAAATAATAAACAATCAGAATGCCCAGTCTTAGATGCCGCCTTTGAAGTTTGTCAGCACGCGAACGCCATGTTTTACGCTAAGATTTATTGATATAAAAATTATCTTATACCAATTTGTGGGTTTTAACTTTGTCTACTTAATCAATTTTATTCATATTAATAATCACAGACATGTAATATTGGCATAATTACTGTAATTGTTATTTTTATAAGACAGCACCCTAATGTGGGCTTTTGTAATTTCAGCATTTAATTTACCTGGTACCGTTAGACCTGAAGATGCTTAGCAAAGTGTAGTAAGCGAAACCGGTCGTTTTGGTGGTAAAATTAAATTGATTGTGAGTAAGTCTTATTTTATTTCTTTTTACCTAATTGTATAATACTTAAATTTGACCCCAATTTTTAAAAGCCATAATACAATTGAAGGGCTTGGATGTTGAAGGTGTTATGTTACATTTGCTTGAAAATTGGGATATCTACGTGCATGAAGGCGTTATGTGTTATTATTTCTCATAGCACTATATCCCATTTACTTCTAGCCATAACTTAGTATTTATTCAGCTGGTGGAGGGGTTATAATACACTAATATGCAGAATGTTTGGAGGGAGAAGGTGCCATGTGTCTTCAGCATGCACATAACACCTTCATCCACTTAGTCACTGTGCTTTGTTTACGTTGTAAAATAAAGTGCAAGATGGGAAGAAGTAAACAAATATTAGAATTGGCTCTTAAACAGGCAAAAGAAGACAGTTATGAAGGTAAGCTTGATGAAATAACTAACCTAAAATAATATACTACAATAAATTACCATTACAAATAAATTAAAATATTGTTTTTCTCACATCAAAGATTTTGAGGTTATGTTAAAAGTTAAAGTAGACATTTTATCAAATAACAAAATAAACGCAATGTTATAATTATAATCTTATAAAACAATGATATAGACTACTATATTTGTTTGGTTTCAGGTGAAAATGAAGATGTCAGTTGCATTTTCGACGATCCTATCAAGTGATGAATATGTACCGGACTCAGATATCGTTAGTGATAGTGAGGATAATGGTGATGATGATTATACAAGATGTGCTCGCATTTCCTCTTCTAGAAGGTTTCTTTCTTGTCGAGATAAAACTAAATTTCTAGAACCCCCTTCAACAAGTACAAATTCTACAGCAAAAATACATCCACAGTGTGATGCGGAAAGTGATGTGGTAAACCTACAAATTCCCATTTCAATTACAAACAGCAGGTGTGTTGAGGATAGAGTGGAGCCCTATTAATAGTGACCAGGCTCATTTAGATGTAGAACCACAAGTAACAAAACAAACATTGTTCAGGAAACGACAGAAAAACAAACAACAATGGAAAAGAAACGTGGCTGCTAAAGCAAGAGAATGTAGAGAAAGTTACTTATTTCGTAAAGAAGTAGTGATTGCTGCCAAGCGCATTAATGAGGATAATATTATTTGTAATGAGAAGTGTCGATTAAAATGTTCAACTAGGATTAACCAGGATACAAGAGTATCAATTTTTAATGACTTCTACAAACATGATATTAACAGGGGAAATGTAATTCTTTTTAAATCAATTTCCATAAGTAATCCTCAGGGAAAACGTAAGGGTGCAAACAGTCTGCATCTTTTAAGTACAGTATTACAGTAAATGGAACTCTACAAATGTGCCAATTTGTAAATCAGCCCTAATGTCATTGTACCAAATAGGCAGAATGAAAGTATTTCTTATCCAAAACCAGATAAAAAAGGTTTATCCAGCGCCAGAGTTAGACAAACGGAGCAAGCATAACAACAGGCCTACTAAACTTGATCCAGATGTAAAAAATATGTTATGGAACATATTGCTTCGTTTTCTGCTGAGTTGTCCCATTATTCTAGAGCCAACAATCTAAACAAAAAATACTTATCACCGTTGTTGTCCGTAAGTAAAATGTACAAACTTAACATTGAACAATGCAGACTAGACCAAGTTTTAGACGAATTCTTAGTAAAAAAGTCCATGTACAGATTTATTTATGATTACGAGTTCAATTTATCCATTGGACAACCTAAGAGTGATACATGTAGTACATGACGTGATAGTGGACAATGTTCAGAAGAACAAATTGATTTTTATAAATCTGCATTTGAGGCTCAAAAAGCTGACAGGGAAAGTGCCAATGTGTTGAACGATGCTGCATACGTCACTATGGATCTGCAACAGACTATGCCATTGCCTCGTTTGTCCACATCAAAAGCTTTTTATAAAAGACAGATGTGGTTTTACAATCTCGGCCTGCAAATAATTTCAAAAAATGTAGACAGGGGCCTATTTTTTACCTGGACAGAAGACGTAGCAAATCGTGGCAGTACAGAAGTTGCAAGTTCACTGTTGAGTGCGGTTGAAAGAGATAGAACACTTCGAGAAAAAAATCATCTGCAAGAGAAAATAAGAATTTCCAGATTATTTGTCTGTACCAGTACATGATTTTGAAAGGGTACTTCAAAACTATAGACCATAAATTTCCAGAGGTGGGCCACTCTTACCTAGACTAAGATCGTGACTTTGATCGCATCGAAAAGAATCTACGGAAACAGCCTAATTTATTCTTACCAGATGAGTATCGACAGATAATACTGCAAACAACCAAAAGAAACCAGGTTATAAATATAGAACACCATTTTAGGAACATTGAGGAATTAGCTACATCTCTAAAACTAGTAAACCGGAAAAAGGATCTTCTTGTAGAGACTGTTCAATTTAGAGATGGTATCAAATGGATAAGGGTAGATGAATTTGGTAGTTATCTGTTTAAATATAGCTACGACCCAATATGCCGTTCAAGAAAGTGGATATTCGACGTTATAGGTCTACCAATAAGGCAAATAAAACCATGTGTGTTATATCCCCAAACTTTATAGTTCCAAGAATAAACAAGAAGATTGACAGTTTGTCTGCAGAGAAAAAGGAAGACATCAAGCAGTTATTGCCATATGTACCCCTTGAACACAGATGGTATTACGAAGCAATGTTGCAGGGCAATTAAAAAGGGTAGCGTCCTACATGTTTGTATACCATTTTTGCATTAACAAACAGAATGTTATTTTGATTTATTTTAAATAAAATTTAGCTCTAATTGTAGAGCTGTACTTGTTTCCATATATCTTACATCCTAATAGGTTGGTGGACAAAGGTGCTATGTACATATTTGAATTTTTTTAAAAGGTGAAATGTATATTTTTCTAGATTCCTAAGATTCTAGATTCAAAATTTAAGTTTTTTTAACAGGTTCTTGTAAAAATGCAACCAAAAAAACTTTAACCTGGATTATCTCATTTTCGGTTATTTGTAACATAGCACCTTGACCTTCCAAGCCCTTTCCTACTATTTATGTTTATTTAATAATTTCCCCGTATCTGTGTTTTTTTATATCTGTGTTTTTTTTTTATCCAGTTTTTTTTTGAGAATTTAATATTGAGTAATATTTATGGAAATAGCCTCGTAGAAACATGTGGTAGTCTACTTACATGCATTAAATAACATCCAACCAAAGTAGCACTTCGTGTCCTTCCAGCTTTGCAATGAACATAAACAGATGTAGAAGAAACGCCGTCAACGACCTCTCGATTTTGAACAAACTTATTTATAAACTTAACTCCTTCCACGAGCTTACTTTGACAAGGCGTTGCAAATATATCAGTTGTTGCCAATTGTAAAAACTCAACTCCTTCTTTGGACCAGGACTATAAAAGTGAGAAAAAAAATATTCTTATAAAATTAATTGTTTCTTGCATTATAAATAATGAAAAAATCCATTAAGGGGCAGTATCAATCAAAATAGTTAAAACAAAAATGAAATTTAAATAATCCAATCTTTTGTAATAAGATATTTTGAAGACAAAGAACCCACTTAAACACGATTTATAGATTACCGTTTTCTTTCATAAGTCTTAAATATTTTAACATGGCTTCCAACTTTCATAGTCAAAAGAGTAGGGGGCTCTCAAGAGCCCTAAGGTAGTATTTAGGCCTATGTGAGAATTCCAGTCGAGGGCACCTTTACAATAGGATTGTTTAATGGAGACTTAACCTCCTGACTGCCAGATTTTTTCTTCAAGAATTTGCTTATATTGTTTACAAATTTCATTTTCTGTATATTGAAGGAATATATAAAAAATAAAAGAAAAAAGATTTATTGGAAAATTGTGTTTTCTTAATGTAGGACATGAACTATATATGAGACAATAAGTATGAATTTAATACTTGATTTAAATATTCTATATTTATGACAAGGGAATTAAATTAGATAAAGATTTGCCAAAAACAAATTTACTTTTATTACAAAATAAAACAAATACATAAAAACTTAAAAGAGAACGGCAGAAAGTCCTGAACATTATCATCATCAGATAAATCAAAGTCAGTTTCTGACTTTGATTCTTTTAAAACTGAGCTATAATAGTTGATCTTCACGTAATGCTGGAAAAAGCAATTAGTTTCACTTTATTTTTCGCTGGAGAAAATAAGTCAATAAAATATACATACGGTACTAGATTTTTGTTTCAATACAGAACGGCAGCAAGCCGCTTATACGTATTTCGACCGAATCGTTTGATTTCTCTTTCTGTTATTAGATGGCGTAGTTACGTCCGTATATAGTTATTTTATAACTATTGTCTAAGACGGGAATACATTTTGTTTCAATCCAGAGAGGTGGCTATATCGCTCTAATTGTAAAGAGGTCAAATTACGTATAAGCGGCTTGCCACCGCTCTTTATTGAAACAAAAATCTAGTACCGTCTTTATATTTTATTTCTTTACTCCGTTTGGAGTACCAGAAATTAAATTCACTACGAATTTTAACCATGATAAACGGCATGTGGAATACAATCTTAGATTCCCTTGTCGAGTTATTTATCAAGCTGTTTGCTTTGCAAGTTTTAGAAAGCACAGTGGTCAAAATTTGAATTCGATTTCGCCAGGTAGAAATCGTTTGATTTCTCTTTTTGATAAGTCAATAACTTCACTTACTCCAATCCGGTATTCCTACTTCTTCGATGTTTCTCTGGATTGCCTCTCTTGCTTACTCACCCTTCCTTCCTTGTTTCTCTTGCCTGTGATAGTTTTGGGCATTTCATTTCTTTAGTATTCGTAACACGTGTCCAATCATTTCTCCATCTGCAATGTAATATTCTGTTTTTGTCGCTTAGTTCGTCTCCTCCATTCTCTTTGCTCTATCTTTGTATCTCTGAAAATCCTGAAGGGTTTTCTTTTCTCAGGTATCCGTTCTTTCCTCATTCCTTCATATGTTTGAATTTTGGCTGCCTAAGATACATGTTTGTCCTTCAATTATCATTATTAATGATCCTCTTTTTTGCTAAACTTCATTAGTCATTTATTTCCCTCTGTTCGTCTCTTATATGTGTTACTGCTAATCCTAAATACTCGAACTCCACTAAATTCTATTTAGTTTATTTGTTGTAATCAATAAAAACAAAGTATCGTTAGGTATAAGGTTACTTTAACTACATTTCATAATTCATTAAAACACCAATATTGATTCAACCGTCGCCCGGTAACTGTTTCGAGAACATTTAGTTCTCATTATATAAGCCCGCCGAGGCAGCCTCTGATTAGATTAGTATACACGATAATACGTATCAGTGCGAATTGTTTTTTAAGCGATAATTATTAATTTGATTAGTAATTGTAATATTTGTAATTCGGTGAGTTTTTGAGTTAAATAAAGTTAACGTGTTATTTTCTAATTTTTCTTTTCCATGTTGCTCTATCTTGTGTCAGATGTATGACCTCATTTTCGGCCACTTTTCTAACATGCTCATCTTAATGGCGCTCGGCTAACCTTACTTTTTTGTGCCCTAGCTTCGTATACTTTTTTTGGTAGCCTTTTGTCATTAATTCTGCCAACAGAGGAATTGACATGACAGATAAGAAAGAAGAAGAATATTGTGATAACCGAAAAGCAGAAGAGGGCGGTCATCTTGTGACTTCAGTGGGCGGGGCTTGCGTGGTCGGGGCTTCTGACGCCAGTGGTCGTAACTTGTGACGTCCGTGGGTGGAGCTTGTGACGTCAGAGTGCGAGTGGTGGGGGTAGCCAACCATCCCATACTCTGCTTGTATATGACCGAGCCATCCTAGTTGAGTCTGACTTATAACTGTGTCTATTGGTTTCACTTCTAAATTTGCTATTACCGTGGTATTTCATATACTTTTACCCATTACTGTATCAGAAGTAAGAGCAGCTTTAAAGGAAATGAAGAACCATCGATCGCCTGGTGATGATGGACTCGTTATCGAGGCAATAAAAGCAGGAGGAGAAATTTTATTAAAATCAGTAAGCGAACTGTTTAATAAATGCTTACATGCGCGTACGATTCCAAAAGACTGGAAAAATGCAGTAATAGTCTTGTTACACAAAAAAGGCGATATTACTAAATTATAAAATTATAGACCCATCAGCCTCTTGACACATATGTAAAAACTCTTTATGAAAATCTTAACAAAGAGGCTAACACCTAAACTTGATTTCTATCAGCCCAAAGAACAGGCAGGCTTCAGGGCAGGATATGACACAAATGACCATTTGCATACCATAAAGATCTTAATAGAAAAGTGCATCGAGTACAACATACCACTAGTTCTTGCATTTGCCGATTACAAGAAGGCTTTTGATTCTGTAGAGTTTGAAACAATACTGGAAGCCCTAAATCAAAACCGAATAGATTACAGGTACACGACACTAATCAAAAACATCTACGAGAATGCTACATCAAGTATACGACTACACGAAGACACAGAAAAATTCAGCTTAGGTCAAGGAGTTAGACAAGGAGACACTATTTCACCAAAATTGTTCACGACAGCTCTAGAGTCAATATTTAAGAGCACTCAATGGCAAGATATGGGCATCAATATAGATGGAGAAAGATTAAATCACCTAAGATTTGCAGATGATGTTGTATTAATCGCAGATAATTTATAAGATACAGTTTCTATGATGCAATCGCTTAAAAGTCTGTCTGAAAGAGCAGGATTAAAGATAAACTTTGAGAAAACTAAACTTATAACAAATCTCGTAATGAGTGGAAATATAACTATTGACAATAATACCATACAACAAACAGACACTTACAAATATCTGGGACACGAAATCAAAATAAGCAGAGACAATCAAACACATGAAATACAGAGACGAATAGGCCTAACTTGGGCAGCATTTGGCAAATTAAGCCATATTCTAAAAAGTTCAATTCCCATGTGTCTCAAGCGAAAGGTTTATAACCAATGTGTTTTACCTGTACAAACTTATGGAGCAGAGACTTTAACACTCACGCAAAAATCTGCGAATAAACTCAGAGTTACACAACGAGCCATGGAACATGTAATGCTGAACGTGAGCCTTCGAGACCACATAACAAACCAACAAATTAGGCAAAGATCAGGAGTTCAAGACGTCATCGAAAGAACCACGTCGCTTAAGTGGAACTGGGCAGGGCACTTAGCCAGAGCACAAGATGGACGGTGGACAAGACGTATTATGGAATGGAGGTCCAGAAACTATAAAAGAAGCCGAGGACAACCACCGACTAGATGGACCGATGATATAAAACGTGTAGCAGGAAACTGTCTACAAGCGGCCCAGTGTAGAGAACACTGGAAAGAACTGAGGGAGGCTTATGTCCAGCAGTGGACGCGATTGGCTGATTGATGTGGTATTTCATATTAATTTACCTATTATACCTATTTTATATATTTTTTATATAACTTATATCTATTTACATCGATATACCAATCGTGTATAAGCCATCTAAGAGAGTAATGAATATTCAGTTCAACAGGGTGCTAATATTCTGAGGTGTAAAATTCCATTAACAAGAGATATCAGTTTGAATGGTCCAGGTACGGATTTAAAGTAGGTATAATAATTGCTTTATTAGCAAAGGAGACAAAGGAGAATGGAAAGTACCCAGAAAGTATCCAAAGAACCTCCTCAAGAATATAAAAAAAAGCTGGATCTTAGTGACTATCTCATAAAACTGTGCAGAAAGCGCTACTTCTCTCGACATCCCAATGCATCAGAGATCTTGAGATATAAATAAGGGGACAGAGGAGAATGGAAAGTACTCTAAAGTATCCGAAGAACCTCTTAAAGAATATAAATAGCTGGATCTTAGTGAACATCGCATAAGACTGTGCAGAAAGTGGTACTTCTCTCGATGTCTAAATGCATCAGTGATCTTGAGATATAAATAAGGGGACAGATGAGAATGGAAAGTACTCAAAAAGTAACTGAAGAACCTCCTAAAGAATATAAAAATCTGGATCTTAGTGAACATCTCATAAGACTGTGCAGAAAGCGGTACTTCTCTGGAAACACGGAAAGAGTCCTTGCAGTTCAATTTTGTTGATCCTGTGCGTATCTAAGATGAGTGAATTATCTCTTCAGAGGGTGTGAGATCAATATGGCTTAAATCAGGACATAATTATTCAGTGTATTAGATACACTGAATACTAATTATAGATAATATCTATTGATAGATATCTGAATAAGGAAGGACATTTCCTCTTAGAGAGAGGGTGTGAGCACTGTATGATTTAAATGTGGATAATAATATGTTTAGTTCTATTGAGATTGAAAAAAAAACATAGCACTAAACGAAATATAAGTATAATCAAGAAATAAATAAGAAAATAAAAGACATACCTTAGCATCATTGGCCAAAAACAATTCATAATCTTCGTTCATTGATACAACTGCCTTGACATTTTCTTTCTCAATAAGCTAAAACAGATTTTTTTTAAAACTACTTAGTAATTTAATACAAAAAATATATATTAATATTTTTATACATTCTGTTGATTCTGTCAATTTGCTGAATACTCATTAATCGCGGTATGTACAATCAGTTTGACACTACTTTAGTCTCTGCTACAGTTTTTTTATTGTGTTGCATATATTTGTTTTCACTCATTGTTCACTTAGTCTGCAACCGTTAACTGTTGGCAAATAGAAGAGACTAGTAAACAACTCAAACATCTCAGTAAAAACTTCTGTTGTAAGGGGTAAAATATTTCATCACAAAATTAAAGTAAAAATCCATATGGATTATAATAGAGTTCAGAAGATTTTCAGACTTTTCAATCCATCTTCAGTGAATTTTTGGACTACTTGTGCTACTAACTGCAAAGCCCAACAGTGGTTGGGTTTAAATTGTAGATAACATATTTAAAAGTAATAATATTCGGCATAATGCTGATGTAAATAGATAACTATCTGGGAAGAGTATGTCCCAACTTGAAGTAAAATTTTCACTTTTCCATAAAAGTTTGTGAGTAGTTGGTATATAATATTGCGGTTTTTTCAGATCCTGTTACACCATTGGATGCTATTGACATCACATTGGTGCATAGAAAAACACTAATGCTCCACTTAAAATTAGTAATGTAAAAGTCTAATTGATTTAAGTATTTTTTAAATTACTCTTGTTGGGACTAAGCCACTATTAAATTCCATACAAGTGATGTACTGGTGATTGTTACATCTAACAAACGCATTAATTTGGTCAAAATTCAATGATTTAATACTAAACTCATCAAAAGCTGTCAGCGAAAAATCGTTAACTGTGATGAGGATTATTAAAATGTATATATAACTAGAGATGTGAAGTTCTTTTTTTGAGTATTTGTTAATAATCAATATTTAATTTTTTAGATAAATAATTCATAAATTAAACATGTGTGTGGCTTTATATGATTGGCTTTTTTAACTAGCACCCTTTTGCAATGTTTACTATTTAAGTTAAAATTTTTATAAATTATGTATTCCACTTACTATGTCTGTACATAATATTTTAATTGTTCAATATTATTGATTTATTTTTCTTTGTACTTTTGATTTTTTTAATTCTGTTTATTTTTTCTAAATTACCTGTGATTGATACCTGATAAAATCTTCAATTTGAAGATAAAAGCCAGTAAAAAAAATAATATTACAAGAGAAAATTCTTATTGAAATTGAAGCAAAGGAGTAATGGGGTAAATACTTCAAAAATTCAAGGTTTTTGCCTAAATTTGTGAGACCTAAATCTGCCATCTCTGCAGGGAAAGTATAATTATAAGTTAATATGATTACCATATGAGTTAAAGCAATAAAAAAATGAGGAGTCCTGTCCTTAGTAAAAACACATTTTTTATTTAAACAATTTATTTTTAAATACCTTACATCCCATAGACTGTGTAACTTTGGTACTTAGGAGAGTCTAGATACTTATTAAAAAGTTACAACATTCGAAATAACTAAGTACAGTGTGACAATTTACATTATTAACTACTAGATTTTTTGAGAATACACCACAAATACAATCAAAAATATTTTATTTTTAAGATTAGATTAAAGTCCAACTACTCAAAAGTAAAATATTTATAATTCAATTTGTGATTTAGTTTCGGCATATCAAATATAGTTCGTCAATACCAAAATTTTTAAATGTATATTCCTAAAAAAAACATTAAAAGAATAACCATTTTTTCAGTTAAAAGAATCAAGTTTTATTTTATTATTATTATATTTAATTATATTATCCCCGTTTAAGAGGACACCACTGTCAAAACAATTGGAACTTAACCTATAAATTAATTTCATAGATATTCAATAAAACTTAAATTAAAAGATATATAATAACTAAAAATTGTTACCTCTTTCGTCAAACTTTTAAACGGCAAGGCTCCTAAAATAACAACATCGTCAATTCTGTTATACCATTGTCTAGGAGAAAGTTTTTCCATAACTACATTGTACACCAATGTAGGATAAAATGTAACGCGTGCGAACATTTTGTAAAGCAAAAGCATGAATGAAACTTTTTTAAAACTTATAAAACTTGTTATTTTATTTTCATTTTTAATGTTGTTTAGAACTTTTGAACAAAACTTCAATATAACGTGACACTTGACATCGCAACTCTACCAAATATGTGATGTGACTCTACTGTCTGCCGTTGCCCGCCTGTGCCTGTTTAATTTAGTGAAAATAATAGTGAAAGCAAAATGAAAGTATTTAAATTAATGGCATAATTAAAGTTGTGCGTATCGCATACTGTTAATAACCACGTTAACAATTTTAACCAAATCCAAGAAAAATAATGCTAACTAACCACCTGAATAGGTAACTACCTACGCATAATACTTTAAATAAATAGTTAAATACAGTGATGAACAAAAGTGTGCATTCTTGTTTTTCTTTCATTTTTGCTAGTTTAGGACGATATCAGTCTGCTCCCTCTAGAGCCAACGTCAACATGGAAATTGCAGCGGCTGCGACTGTCGTGACAATAAATGCATATAAATATATTTTGCTACAAAAAAGGCGAATTTTACGTCATTTTGTCTACAGCGTTACTTAAAGCTACTAGACCAATATTATTTATCTATGCTACTAGATCTTTAGAGATGCAGTATTTGCGGAATATATGAGTGTACCTGACGTCAAGGCTTTGAATCCCATTTATTCTTTTATTAACTCAATTCCCAAATGTCTTCTATTTTGGCGATATTCTGCATCAAACGTGACTTTAATCCACAGCTGATATATGGAAGTACATATTTTAAAAGTTACATGACCACACGACGGTGTTCTACTAGGACAAAACGATCTATATTTAAAAAATTAAAAGCATTTACTTTTGTAAAATATTTAGATAAGTACATTTTTTTGTATGCCTGAAAAAACCACATATTAATTTATTTATGTAAGAAATAGCCTTTTGAGCATAAACCCCGTTCTGATAGACCACCGTCGTGTATCGGTCAACGGAGGTGACTCACGTGGCCGAAGATCGATTTTTACATGTTGTAAATTTGTTTTTTAATGCCTTAATGCGCGAAAATTACGCGCCAACAACTAAATTATGCGCAAATAGCATAATTATACGCCGATTGGAACACTGCTGTAGCGCCAATGTGTAGTCGGAATCAACGGCAACACCAGTATTGGCGCCAATCGCTTTGAAGTGTATGAAAAATCCGACAGCCCACGGAAAACTCCCAATGTTGGAGCTTCTTCTTCCTATGCCGCCCCCATTAACGGAGGTTGGCGACCACATTTCTAAAAGTTTCTCTGTCATTTGCAACATGGAATAGATCGTCTACAGTCATGTTTGTCCAGTCTCGAATATTTCGCAGCCATGACTTCCTCTTTCTACCTATTCCCTTTTTGCCATTGACTCTACCCTGCATGATGACCTGCAGAAGACTATATTTATCATTCCTCAGGATGTGTCTAAGGTATGCAGTCTTGCGTACTGTTATTGTTCTCAACAATTTTTTATCTCGACCCATCCTTCTCAGCACTTCCTTATTGGTGACCCTGGCAGTCCATGGAATTCTCAATATTGGAGCAATAGAATCTCAATGTTGAAGCAAGTCACAAAATCGTTGGAGCCAATAGTTTTGTCGGTACACACATTGGATGAATGCTGTTGAGATGAATGATGAATGAATATGTGAAGCCGGCATAATCATGTAATTAAATAATTTCATTTATAAGATGCTATGCCCCTTATGTCCAATATTGTTACTTATTGTTTCATGTTATTATAATTGTTAATACAATTTTTCCTGTTAAATTAATAAACTAATTTCTTAAAAAGCAACTTTATATATTATTTATTATGAAATACTGTAATATACATTAAATATAAAGTTAACAAAAAAGATGTATTGCATTTATTATTTTTTACTTCTGAATCTTCCAGAAATTTTTAACAGTGTTACCAATACCGACTGAGTGATGATTATAATACAAAAGTCCTCCTAAAGTGGAAATTGAAAGTAAGTACAACAAAGCAAGAGTAACTTTTGGTAGAACAGGTCCAACGACGATTGGTCTTACATAATCTACCACACAAGCTTCCAATCCCCTAAAAAATTAAAACATTATGATATATAAAATAAGTTCAGTTCTATGACCTAAATTATAACAAAAACATTTATGATCAGTAACTCCAATTTGAGCATTAGATTACTGAAAATCATTTGTAACTAATCTCTCCTGGTATTATTCCACATTGAATGGAGGTGTTGTTAATTATCATGTAACACATCTTATTAGAGAGTGAGGAAGTTCAGCATAATTTGTGTGAAAACATCATATTACATTATCAGATGTCTCTAATAAACAGTGTCTCAGTGATAGCACAGTTTTGCATACTTTGTGTTTAATTTGTAATAAATTCTTTATATTCTTGCTCAAATATGCTGGCATATGTATTAATGATGGTGATAAATTAAATTTTATACCAACATGAATGCAAGTAAAAATTAAGATGTTTTATATTTTTATTATTAACCAATTTATACATACCATCTACAGTGGTAGAGATTCTTTATAAACCTTATTCCTATAATGAGTGGTTATATTGGTTAAATAAGGTCTTACAATTCTACAAATGCAAACTTGAAAGATATTAGTATATTCACTAAATATATGAGTATATTCCTGTTAAGAGGTGAAAATTGTACATTTAAAAAAGTCAATTGCCAACTGAACATCTGGTTTTATGAGTCTTGCTGGTTCTATAGTTTTAAGAGTTATTAAAGCTGAGAATGTAACAGATCATTGTGCCAAATGTTGAAGACTGCAATTGAAAAATGACAGAGAAGGCTACTAATGAACATATTTGTGCCGGTGTGAATGGATTTAATAAGAACAACTAAGTTCTAACCTTGGAAATGACTTAAAAGAACATGAAGAAATGCCCTGATTGTGAATAAATCTCTTGATCACCACCTTGATATTATGTTTTAATAGAATCAAGTTTTAGATACAAAAAATAGGATAATACTAATTATGTAATCTGCAGAGATAAAATAATATAGTCAGTCTAGAATATATCCACCTAAAGAGATAAAGAAAAACAGCAAGATATAATGTTGAAGGTCACTTAAAAATATTCTTATGGTCAAGAAATATCATGAAAATAGAAAAAGTTGACAAATATGTAAGGACATTAACTGGATCAGACTCTCAATTTAATTTTCTGACTAAATTGTTCAAGGAATGCTTCAAAAATCATTAAAATGTGATAAAAAGCTGGATGGATAAGATACAAGGGATTTTTTTATAGTTCTACATAGCTAAGTTGTAGATTTACAAGATGTTAGTTATAAGTTATAACAGTTTATTAGTTGAAAGTAAAACTACTAATATCAACCAGTTAAGCTGGCTAAGTTTATTTAGACAATTAAGTTATACAGCTTGGTTTGTTGTAAGTTTCTAATTTTTCTCACCTATGGCACCAAATATTTAACCTATTAATTTGAATGCATTCACAATTGTGTCACATATAAAATTCAGTAATAGTTAAAAAAGAAACTCTCTTGTGAAATCTATTATTTTAAAGAATGGATTCTAAAGAAATAGGCATGTTACAGTGATATGTTTAACGTAATGCAACTTTATTTGACAGCCATTGTGATATATAATGTGGCTGGATAGACAACCAAAAATGCTGCCTAAGTGCCCCTTCTTGTAGAGGCAAAATAATTCTACATGATTGTCCATAGTCATATAATACATGATATACTGACTGCTACAATACAGTCATGTTCCCCCAGAGCGACAGAGAAAACTGATGCAAAGCATTCCCTACATCTCTGTATCATAGGCCGAATTTATTGACCACATAACCTTCTCATTGGCCAATTAGGTCACATGGTCGATAAACCTGGCAAATTAGAAAGAGATGTAGGGACTGCTTTAAATCAGTTTTTTCTGTCGCACTGGAGGAACAGGATGGTATTGCAACGATCAGTCTATCTATGTGATTGTCATAATTAAATGTAACCTTAGGTTAGGTTAGTTTAGAATATCTAAGAAGGAACATAATATATGGAAATACCTAGATGAACTAAAAAGGAAGAATTTTTCAAATCAATTAAAGTACTCATTATTGTAAATATGGAACCGCCCATAACAGGAGTGTACCATTTTATCTTCTCTTTTAGAGGAACATTAGACCTTAATTAAGTTAAGTTGTTCAGAATTATTTAAGAAAAAAATCTCTTATCAAACATCTACAACCAGACTTCAGAAGAGATAAAAAATTTTCAGTCATAAGAAGTATTTGACAAAACTACAAAAAATGTAATGTTAAAAATTGAAGACAAATTTACTTCAAAACATCAACATCAAAAAACAATTTCTTCAAAATAACGTCAATATGAATCAAAATTATTAATTCTGTAATATACAATACAGTAGTTATGTTTTAAAACATTCCAAGGTAACCTCATTAATAAAAAAAATAATAATTACCAATGGAAATGAGCAACAGTGGCAATAGCAAAAATGTCGTTTAAAGCAGTATTGGGGGTTATAAAGACTAGTGGGGTAATACCCAAAAGGGTAAGTGTTACAGCTTTTTCTATTGGCCACAACTTGCTATGATCAGCAGACATATTCCTTTTCACATAACTAGCCAAATTAATTCTGGGTAAAATGTTCACATTTTTATTGGCTCCACTGATAAGTTGTGTGAATGACTTCCTTGAGTTTATAGCGACGGCACTTTTGAAAATATTTGGGGATGCTAAAAGGAATAAAATTATGTAATAAAAACTGGTTTTATTTGTACTTCATGAATAACATACCTTGAATTCTAGTCGAATTTCTCAATATTATTGCCAAAGCCATGGTAGATTAATCTGATGTTATTTTGTTACGTCTAAAATTTAAAAATAATGAGTGTAATTTAAAATGTATTAATGATAAAATGTTTTTATAAGGTTTTAAAAATCCATCACAAAACTCTGTTCCTCAGATGACCTTCCCTGTTCTTATTTTAGAATACACTGACATTTGACATACAGTATAGAGGTAGAAAGTATACATATATTATATTGATAAAAAGAGACACTAAACTTAAAAATGACATCTATACATTACACCTGAGTTAACGAATGCACACGGTTCCTAGACTGAGTCTAGGAACCGTGACGAATGCACATAGCAACGACCAGTGGCAGCTAGTGATATTGAGTTTGAAGGGGGCGCAACGACTAATAAAATAATGAAAAAGCTTTTTTGATGCAAATTTGATGGGATTGTAATTAATACCGATTCATTATACCATAGCACAGAACAAATAACAATGTACTTTTGAGTACAAGAACAAGTATGAATTTTGAGTAGAAAGGTGTTTGTGTGTCAAATTATTAAAAATAAATGGATCATGGAAGTGAAAACTTCTATTTTATATAAGATGTATAATAGAGATATCGTTTAAACGATAAATATTGACGAAAACGTCCTAGAGTCTTAAAATATCTTAATTTGAGCTGGTTGATTGAACGGATATATATTTATAGTGTGTTTTATATTGCTTTCGGATAGTATAGATAAGAAGGTTTAGGATTAAATTTTTTCCCGATTTTCCAATTTTGATACCTTCCTCTATTGTTTGTTTTCTGCTGTAAAATACAAATATTTATATTTTCAGAACTTTCTTCTTTATTTAAATAGTTGTTTTGAGCTACATCCAAAACCATTCTCTCAGGTTCTTAAGCCATGAAATATGTCTTCGTCCGATGCTTCTTCTGTCATTTATCTTTCCTTACATTATGAGTCGCAGGATGCCGAACTTCTCGCACCGCATCACATGTCCGAGATACTGTAGCTTTCTTTCTTTAATTGCAAGTTCAACTTCCTTCTCTTTACCTATTCTTCTCAGTACTTCATTGTCAGCAACTCTATCTACCCAGGAAACCCTCATAATTTTTCTATAGGTCTACATTTCAAAGACATTAAGTCATCTCATTGTGTCTAGATTTAACATCCATATGATTCCACTCCATAGTATAGTACACTGTATACATATCCAACATTTTATTAGGCGTACTTTAAGATCTAATGTTCAATATTTGCCACATACGACCTTTTTTATTTTCATAAAATTAGAACGTGCTTTTTCGATTCTGACTTTGATTTCTGCAGTGTAGTCATTATTTTCTGTTATAAGTGTTCCTAGGTAAGTGTACTTTTTTACTCTTTCGATCGGCTGGCCCTCTACTATCAAGATTTCGTTAGTATTACGGTTGTTTTTACAAATTTTCATACTTCAACTTCGTCTTTTTGATATTGAGAGAGTGAGGTCGTACTCCCTACTACACATACTGAACTGAATTACATAGATACATTGCGTTTACTACACCTGTATTGTCTACATCTAGAATAATCTCATCTCGAATGCATCTTTTCATAATCATTTTCCAGATCTTCTTAAAACTTGATGGGAGAATGCCATCTGGTCAGATAAATAAAGATTTAAGATAAATAAAGATTTGCCTATATATTCTACTCTGGCATATGATTTTTTTTGTTCCACTTCGAGTTTGCATTTCTGTACTTGATCAATATGTTAATTAGTAGTTAAACAACATGTTCTTTATTATTTCAGATGATACATGCTTTCTGTTAGCCCGTAAGGTCCCAAATAAATAAGTGGAATTTTGAAACAGTCTTTTTACGAGTGATAAGGTACTCCTGTTTACCAATTTTAAGTAAATAAACTTCAAATCAGTTTCTTAACATGTAGTCCACTTACTTTCCTTCTCCACAAATCAATCATTATTTTTTCCTATAATATTAGTACCAATAATATGAAATTGAACGCATTTGATAAAGCCACAAGAAATGTACGCATCTTCATAATTTCTTCATTCTTAGATGTCTTCATAATAACAAAATCTCTAAGGACTGGAACGAGAGTCTAGTAATACTCTTTATACAAAAAGGGGGGAAATGTGATCTAAAGAATTATAGACCTATATCGTTGCCCAGTCAAGTGTACAAACTGTTTATGAGAGTTATTAACAATCGGTTGGCTTAAAAAATAAATAATTATCAACTGATAGAACAGGCTGGCTTCCGCAAAGGGTATAGTACAGTACATCAGACCATCTGATGACAATGAGAACATACGAAAAGGCATTTGACCATATGCGGACCAAGGAACAAGTAGAATATATTCGAATATATATAATAGACAACTAATACATACAAGGTTGAGTTTCTATATATGAAAACGAAACTATGATAGTACAACTATACGAAAATACAAATCCCATTCCGGTTAAGAGAGAAGTTAGACAAGACGTGTATAGCGAGCACATTCGAGGAATTACAAACTATGGTAAATGAAACTTGACAAAAAGAGAACCAAAATGCGGAAATCACTAGAAGAGTAAGACTGGCATCTGGCATGGGTAGGATTTGGAAAACTCAGTTGGATGTTTAAAAACCGCAAAATACTTCATGATCGTTCATATCGTGTCCACAGTATATTGCTTACTTTTAGCAATATACTGTGTAGTGTCACAGATATTGGTAAGTGTCTAGTGTCTGTTCCATGTTATTAAAGCTGCTGTTACTTCTAACATTTTAATGGGCAAAATTTCATTTCATTAGTTCCTTCCTTATGGAAGTGCTTACTCATGTCAGAAAATGTTCTTATGATCATTGTCTTATAAAGTCTTGTTTTATAAAGTATAGACGTCTTTATAAAGCTCTCTAGTTATTTTCTTATTACGTTTACTTTTGTTCTCTTCTACTATTTTAGTAATTACATTAGTATTACAGCTTCTTAGATCTTTGCTAATTTTTCCTGAAATTCTTTTATTTAGTTTTTTATATCTTTTTTTGTTTCCCTTTTCTTTCTCGTTTAGGTTTCGTTATATTTCTACTAGAACCTTTTTATCTTTGCTAATCTTTTCACCAAAGAATATAGACGCTTATAGAAGAATTTTTCACTTCCCGTTTAGCAAGTTGAGAAAGATTGAACAGAGTTGATCACACGTTACAAAAAAGAAGGGAGGTGGATCGAGATGGATCGAGGTTTCACTAGGGAGCGGTCATGTCAGCGCTGTTATTGCTTCTAAAATATGAAAGAGTGGGGCAACAAATGCAACTTAGATATTTTTATGAGATGCCGCGTGGTCGTAGAAGAGGATTAAATTTTTGCATTTTATAAAAATTTTTAAAGAAAAGAATATATTTTATTATTATTATTATTTATTATTATTTTAACTTTTAATAAATTAATCTTTTTAAAAAAATATGACTCAAATTTTTAATTCAAATATATACAAAAGTATAAATAATATAATTAAAACTCTCTTCTTATAAACTATAAATAAAATTAATTAAGCGGCAATCACCGGGAGAGAAAGCTCAAAAAATTGTAAGGTGTTTCGATCAAAAAACAATTCCTGATCTTGTTAGTACGCTAGAATTGCTTTTAACACATACACCAAAGAATTATTTTTTATATTGTGAAGTATAATTTCGGATTTTTAAATTAAAAAATAAGTAAGTCTCAAATAACTAATCACCAGAGCTCAACAAAGGAAGATAAGAAAAAGGCAAAAATTGCAGCTGGGGCATAGACCATAGCAAATCCTTAAACATCCAAATCAGCAACACCCGACGATAAAATGAGACTTGGGGAGAATAAAATCACCCCCTTGTAATAGAGTTGCTAAGAAATCAAAGTGCTCTAACGAGCAGACTAGGTCATAAAGCACCCTGACAACAGACACCACCCTGTATTTTTCCATTTATTATCTTTCTTTCAAACAATCTACCGAAAGTAGGTAGGATACGTAATACTTTGTAGCAGTTAGGATCTTTTCAATTACTTGTTTTAAAGATGGACTCTAGGTGAGCGGTTCTCTATTTAGATGCTACTTTAATTTGTTTGCAACATTGCTTCATTAGAAAAGTTATTCGTTCTATTAGAAGTAGACCTCCTGCTTTAAGTAACTCTACAGCTATATTACCAGGTCCTGGAGATCGCCCGTTTTTTATTTTAATTAACGTGGTACGGACCTCGTTATTAATAGTATTAATGTTACTATTTGTTTGTCTCTCCATTCTGTATTCCTGTCCCATATATTCCAATCTGGACTGTTGGAGAAAATTTCAATAGTGATTTTCCCACTGTTCTATAGGAATTAAGTTACTTAAGGAGTTATGAGTGTTTTATTTTAGATTAGTGATAGTTTTCCATGCTTCCGTACTCTGAGAACCACCAATTAAATTTACAAACTTGGACACATTTTTGTTCCCAGAAATTGTATTTTGCTTCTAGAGATGTTGGCGACCACATTGACCTATCTTATTCTATTCATAGCAGCGCGCAATAGATCAGTTGACGTTAGATCAGTCCATTTCCTAAGATTGGCCAGCCAGGATATACGTCTACGTCCAGGGTCTCTCTTACCCTCAATCTTGCTCTGTAGAATCAACTGTAGAAGTTGGTATTTATTATTACGCATGATGTGGCCGAAGTAAGCCAATTTTCTGTTTTTTTGTGATAATGTCTTTGGCTTTTCTTAGCCTTTGGAGAATAATGTTACTTGTATGGTGTATATATGACACCCTTAGTATACGTCGGTAGCACCACATTTCAAATGCCTCCAATCATTTTATGGCATCTTCTCTAAGGTCCAGCTTTCTACTCCAGCTTTCTACTCCAGCTTTCTCTTCCAGCTTTCTATTCCAGAGAAGATGACACTAAAAAAGTAACATCTAAGAATTCTTATGCGTATATTAACACTTAAAGATAAGTTGCAGAGAATCTTCCTAAGGCTGTTGAAAGAGCTTCTGGCTTTTTCAATACCAGTTTTTATTTCGTAGCTATAACCCAAGTATCCTTAATATTGCTGCTCAAATTGCATATTTTTTCCACTCTTTCTAACGGTGTATCGTTAATTGTAATTTGGGCGTTTATGCCGGTGTTCTTACTAATGATCACTATTCTTACATGCTTCTACAACGTTATCCATCATCCTGCGCACTGTCTGCCAGAGACACTGTA